TTAACACAGTCGTTACAATCAATGGACGTCTTTTGACTCAAATGCGATGATTTAGTTTTGACTGAAATAGAGGATTGTTCGGGTTTTGCCGTTCGGGTGACAACCGCTACGCGTTCGTTATTGTGCTCGCACTACGCTATTTGTATTCAACTAGTTCGTACAACACGAAAATATTGTTTCGTCTCGACTATACCAATGTATTTAAATTCTTATAATAACGTAATTATTACTTATTCGTTAGAATAAAATTTATATTACCTGCATTTGAACCCTTCTTGTTAGCGTCTGCGGTACGATTTCGTAAATTTTATTCGCATGCATACTGTACGGGTATAATTTTTTTAAATAATTTATAAAAAAAACGAATTGCATGATATTTAATGTATAGTATACGTTTCTGAAACGTTTGGTAAAATTGCTGTTTGCACCCATTTTAATGGCATGGTAATTTGAATTTAATGTTATTCGAAAAATAATTTGTATCAAAAAATGATTGGAATCGAAATTTTCTAAAAATAAATAAATAAAAATTATCAAAAACAGTTCGAAAAGGAATCCAATTTTGATATATTTAATAATAGAAATAATGAATAATAATGCGTATGTACCTCCTAATTACCAACGATGATCTTAAATCTAATTAAAAGTATGAAAAAAACTCTCCGGCGATGTTTGATTAGTAGGACTTTATGCCGGTTATATCACAGCACAGATATATATATATCGCAAGAAATATTTAATCAATTTCTATTCGGCTAAATCGTTCACCGTTTTGTGCTGTTCTGCGAATAACTGTTGTCATCAATTTGTACACATGGTACTTATATATATATATACATATATATCTCGATCGCATTTTGTTGAAAGGGCGTATACCACAAAAAATCGAAAAATGAGTTTTTGGTATTAAAATTTTCAGAAAAAATAGGCACATAATTTGTAATATTGAGGCGGTTAAAAATATTAAGAATTATTCTCTATATAGCGGATATAAGTTATCCAAACGCCCTAAAGAATATATATATATATATTAACGGAGAATTTTAAAAGGGCGTATACTACAAGAATTGCTAGTGGTTTTATCGAATAAACTAAGCATTTGAATGATAATTGTTATCAAATTATTAACATGCCTACTATATAAAGGTATATCCAAGATCAACCAACCTTAGCGGTATCATTTTTAAAAACACTATTTTGTTTCTCCCGAACAATTTCAATTATGTGGTATACGCCCGTTCAACAAAACACCATCGATATGTATTAATAAATCGTTTGCAAAATAATGTATTGAATTTCTGAACAACGTCAAAAACAGAAAATTATTTCAATTTAAATATTAAACTCGGGCCCGGGGAGACAAACCGACGCGGTGTGTGAATACACAGACGGGATATAACTAGTACCGGCTAGAACTACGTGGTCGCAATATTCTATTAGTTGGATTTATGGGGTCTGAACGGAAAACATATTATAGAGTTTGCTTTATGTATGTATATTCACCGTCTTTTAGGTTCCTCCCAAATCTTATCAATACATTCTTGTTCGTGTCACAACCAAAAGGCCTATGATCGGGCTGATGGTGATGACGATAAAAAGTTAATACCCAGAGCGTATATTGGTATGGTGCATAACAAAATGTAAGAGTGGTCATTCGTTAATATCTTCCGACCCGCAAGTAATAGTACAATACAATTATTAATCAAAGCTTCTCCGAACAATAATAGTATGTACGCACTGCAGTATTATGTGATTAATTCGTGTAACAATAACAATGGTCATACGTAATAATGATAGTAATAAGTTCTTAAGTTCTACTATATGCTTTATGTTTTCAATTAAATTATTGAATTATTTAAAATTCGATCGTTTTAACTCTTAGAAACGCGTTGGATAAATATGTTGCGTTATTCAAGTGTACGTTATGAAAAAATCAAAATAAAAAAAATTGTATACATCTTGAACTGATTTTTATTTTTTATATAAAAAATAATAACATCGAGATAGGAGTAGTTTTGGGAATTTTATCATTGACGTTTAAATTTTGAAAAAAATAATTTTGTTCATAACTGAAAAACGCACTAAGGGAATAATAAAAATTAACGATTCGTTATACTTCTAATGAATAAGAAGGTTATTTTTGTACAAGTTGGAAATTTCATTTTATGTGCAAGTTTGAAATAATATAAAATTTGAAAAAATTCGAATTATTTTAAATTACAATTATAATTTCAAACCCACAGTTTAATGAATTCAGAATATTATTTATTAAAACTAATAACAAATATTCTTCGATATCAATTATTTTATTTAAAATGATCACACATTTCAAACGCAGATAATTGTTATAAACGCGTTGCTAAATTTTTATGGGAATATTATAGTTTATAGTTTTAGAATTTTATATTTATAACTGTTTTTTAAAAATTAAATATTTTGTACTTATCGAAAAAAATATGCAAAAAAAATCCTTCGACGTCAAACTTTTAAACACAAATAAATTGTACTCTAGAGCAATTACATTTTGATAACTTATAACCATACGAAATGTGTGAAAATATTTTAATGTAAACTAACTGTTCAATAATGGGCTGTATATCAAAATAATGATGTAAAATAACCAAATCGTGAACTTAAACACTATTGGACTAAACAGATACCCAAAGGTTTAATGCGGATAATGAAAACAGATATAATTTATTTATATAGTATACTAATAAAATATAGTTCAATGGTATTTATCATATCAAATCAGTGCATTTTTTAAGGGTTTTTCACCGGGCGACGAGCCATTTTTTAACTTCTCAAAACAGTCAGTGTATAATGCCATAATATGATAGTAGTATTTCATGTTCGTTTCGTATGATTGTTAAAATCTTAAAATACTGTTATAAAATTAATTTGAGGTCATCACCGATTTTATATTTATTTTCCAGTGTTTAATCTTTATTATCATTAATTCTAGTACAGAAAATGCCAAATCTCACCAATGTGTTACACACCAAATACATGGTACATCCTTTTATGTACAAATTTATCCATTATACAATACCAAATTGTTTTTTATACATAATTTATGAAAAAAGTTGACAATTAATTGTGTTTCGCTCGGTCTTTCAAAATACTATAAAATATGCAACAAAATATTGTCACTGGATGACATTTTTTATGTTAATTAACTAATTTCAAAAATACACTGTATCGAATTGTAATAAATCCCATTGTTATGTATATCTTTATTTCTTCGTATTGTTTATAGCAGTGGTTCTCAACTGGAGAGGCGCGCTCCCCTAAGGTGACATGACAAATTTTCAGGGAGGGCGTGAAAGTGTTGAAAAACGAAAACGTTTCGGTTTTCTACGTCGGCCTTACCCGTGTGTTGGTCACCGCCGCGGTCGATCACTAGATACACTGAGTGATTATTACGATTATATAAGATTGTACAAATCATATATTTATGCTCTTTAGTCTTCTGGGTATTAATAAAAGCACTGTTTCGACGAAAAACCGCCACTCGACACGATAAGAACAAGTTTTGGTAACCGTAAATAAATATTACGATTACACTAATAGTCCTGTACAACATATGAGATATTTTCTATCACTTTCTATTGTTACTTATTTAGTTGTATCGTATCTTTGGTGCCGTTTCGTACTTGTTTTTTTATTTATAATTTGGTTTTTAATATTATTACTGAGGATGATTTGATATAATATCAAAATAAAAAATGTCAAAATCAAAAAAAAAGATTGTATAGTGACGATTATATTAAATACGGATTTACTGTAATTGAGAAAAATGGAAGTAATTTACCTCAGTGCGTGATTTGTCACATAGTTTTGAGTAATGACGCAATACGATCAGGACGATTGGAACCTCATTTAATTACTAATCATCCCGGTTTAAAAGACAAACCAATCGATTTTTTTCATGTAAAAATAAATTCGGTAAAATGCATGAAACTTGATTCAACTGGTAATTTTGCAATGGAAAATAAAAAGCTTATGGAAGCTTCTTAGGAAATTGCCTTGTTGATAGCTAAAGACAAGAAATCACATACTATTGGTGATACAATTCAAGCTTTTTTAGAAAAAATATCATTATGGAAACGCCGTTTCGTGCAATTAAACATATTTTTCACGGCTTAATAAACTTCTTAATGATACCGAAAATCAAATATTAAATACCGAGAATGAGTTTAAGGAATTGCACATCTGGTATCTTTATAAAAGCAATTATCAAAGTATTTTCCTGATATTTCTACAAATAACTGGCAATTTAAATTAGTATTAGATCCATTCAAAATTGATGTGGACATACTTCCAGATTATCTTCTAGAGCAAACTATCGATCTTAAGACTAATTCCCAAGCAAAAGAAGACTTTTCGAATAAGAATGTTGAAGATTTTTGGCTCTGTTATCTTTCTGTATATCCAGAAGTTGCCAATGAAGCTACGAAGCTACTAGTTCAGTTTTCTTCCACCTACCTCTGTAAGTCTGGCTTTTCAGCGCTGGCATATATAAAATCAAAATATCGAGCACAATAGGACGTGGACAGTGATCTAAGATGCACATTATCACAGATGTCACCAAACATTAAAAATGTATTAAAACTAAACAGGACCAACCCTCTCGTCAATTTTATATTTAATAATAGTTAATTTTAATTTTAAATTGTAATAATATTTTTTTTCTTATACAAATAAATTAATTTAATATTAAAAAAACTTCATTGAAGTTGTATTCATATTAATCCAATAACCAACATTAAAGTATAGATTACAAAAAAATGTTTTGCAAACATCAATCTTATAGTAGTGAGTGGGGGGGGGTGTTAACTAATAAAATATTTTGAAAGGGGGTTTGGACCTCAAAATGTTGAGAACCCATGGTTTATAGTGTCTTATATCGTACATGTGAGGATATAGATTTTTCAATTCATTAACTTTAACATAGTTTGATCCTGTTTTTATTTATTTATTTATATTTTTCGTTTCAGCCGCCCTAGTCAGCAGCGGTGGAGCTATTTATCCGATTGGCTGGGATAACAGAGAAGTAAAGGAGTCCTGCGGGAACATATCCGGACCGTACAAACTAGGTAAGACTACTGCACGCACGGTTGTCCCCGAACAACATATAGAGTGTCCTATTAAATAATATGGTCGTTGTCAAATAATCTCCACGTGCACAAGGTTCGAGCACTATGGGCGTCAATATTGTTCTCACATACCCATAAATTGTCCCAGCAGCGCTAGCCTCTTTTAACTATCGGGAAATGTTTAATTTCCCAGACGTTATTGAAATTCCTCAGCGATAATCATTGAACAATTAAATTGAACCGTCCGTGAAGAACACGATCGCGGTACAGACGCAACGAAGATCACGAAATATAGTTGGTGACAACAACTGCTGCGACGACCTTCTATGCACGTATATAACATACGTACGTATATGCGTAATAAAGATAAATAAAGCCACTTCGGAAAATCGTCACTGACCGTTATGTCCGCGAGTCCGTGAAAATCGTCATAAGACTTTCGTTCCCATCGACACGGGGTAATAATAAATAGAGAGAAAAAAAATTGACCCTTTGAAAATAATATCTACGGCGAAACGTTACGATTGTTTGAAATCGCGAACAATGACAATATTACTTCATGCTATGTTGGAACTCGGTCTCGCAAACGGATTAACGAAACATTATACACGTGTTTGCGGTGTAGGTACGGTAACAAAAGAAAATATTGCGCCCGGGGCGAAACTTCAAAATTATTATTAAATATTATTTTCGACAATCACTTTGGCCAACATGAAGGAAGTTAACATGATTCAAGTTAGACCGTAATCATTTCTAACGTGAAATTCGAATTTTTCGTTTTCGCGCCCTCCCAGGAAATTCGCCCGGGACGTAGACACCTCTAGTCCTCCTCCCCATTGCTACCCCCCCTGTGAACGGGAACAAACGCGTGATACCAACGTGATACCTATGTACCCGTTGCTCGTGCGCATCGATTTGCTCGTCCATTAATTGGTTTGAAAGCGCTCGTAAAAACATTAGCGATAAAACGGCTTATGAGTGTTCGTGCGTACCGAATCGCCAAATCGCCGAATTTACTACCTAACAAATCGGCGGTCCGTAATTTGTCGATATTTCGACGTAACATCTAAGGATGTTACGCGACATGTATGGACGAATCTACGAACGTTTTCCCGAACACAGAAATGGTATCAGTTATGATTTCTTTAATTTAAATGTTAACAATAATTTATAATTATGTTTGAATAAACACACACACACACACACACACACACACGTACGCACGTACGCACGTTCATTGATGACGGGCGTTCCCGGACCGTAAACACTCGTCCCAAAACCGGTGTTTACTAGTTGGGTCCCGAACACCTTTATTTAGTCTAGTTAGGTCTCGGTGTTTTTCAGGTAGTTCACTTGTTGGGTCCCAGTATTTTCGGACCGAACTAGTAGGTTATGGTTTTCATAGTCGGACCGAAGTCGTATGTTATCGATTTTATAATCGGATCCAATTAATTGTTCATCTTAATCATAAATATTATCTGGGACCCAATCGGATACACCCCCCGAAACTAGGTGCCAACAACTTTCTACATTATTATTGCACATCCATAAGTCACAACCACCGAACAGTGTTTATGATTATACGACGGTTTGTCGGTCAACATTGGACAGAAATACAGTTTAAGAAGAGAGAGAGAGAGAGAGAGCGTTATTCTTGTGAGAGTGAGCGGGTGGGGGGTGGTTGTATATGATTGCACCATGGTCTGAGATCTCGTCGCCACACCATTGGGCACACGCGTACACGTGGATTAGTTTCGCGTTAAAAATTGTTCGTCCTTACACGGGGTTAAAGGCCACGTGCACACGGCGTTTCGGGTCCGACGCGTGCATCACACCGACGTAGCTCGAATGGGTAACACGTGTAAATGAGCATTTACAACAACGCGTTTCGGATTGGCGAAAAGTCAAAACGTACCGAAACAACCGTACCAACTACGTTTACAGCGCGATCGAATGGTACAACCGTATTACCTCGGTCCATTCGTTTTACGATCGTATGTTTTATCGCGATTAGTACGCGGCTACTGATCGAAAAAATATGTTCTATCGCACCGCCGATCCCGAGGGATCGAAATTAACGTAGGAGGTACACCCACATAATGATACGCGTGCGCGTGCACATCTCTCTGGGACGTTGTATTTTTATCGCGTGTTAAAATTTACGCGCGTGTCGGTCATGAAATATTCAACTGGTTTCGAAGTTGTCTTCCGGAAGTACGCGAACGTTTACAATAGCTCACCATATTGTATTTTAAAATCGAAAACCTTGTTAGGAATTAGTTACGATCGGTGTTATTATTTTCAAACGGTCTTTCAACTGGAGAATTCACGACGTTATGCAGACGAATTCATTTTCATCGGTATAAAATATTCTGAAAAAAAAAAGAAATTAATTTCTGTTGTGCTCGAATTAAAAAAAAATCAATAAATTCGTTTTAAAATGATTTACTGATATCGCAAGTTCTCGATGTACTAAAGAATAGATCTTTTGTGGTTTAAACAATAAAATACAACGTAGAACCGAATTGGGTTGGAAGTCAGTAAGGATAAAAATATTTCAAATTATCTGACGAATTTTAAAGGGATTTTATTCATAAAAATATCGACTCCAGCGATCTACATTCTATGCATAATATGTATCGATTCTCAAGCTTAAATGATCAAATCGGTTATACTCAATACATGAATTAACAGAGTGCCAGATATAGGGGGGGGAGGGTGCAAGTGTGTATGCTTGCCCTCAGAGATGGATCCGAAATATTTTACGGAGAGGGCACAGTAATACACTTATACACTTGTTATTATACAATAAATAAAAATTTAAATTATTTTATTTTTCATAATTTTATAATACTCTAGTCAGTAGATGTAATAAACTTCGAAAAATAATCGAAAACCTAATATATTTTACTATACATAACAAAAACCTAGTTTTAGGGGGAATGCACCCTCTTTGCCCCCCTTGAAGCCGCGTCTGTTCGCTCCAAGCTATGTTGGTATAATGGTGCTCTTAAGTTAACGAAAAATAAAAAAAGTCTTGAACACACCTCATACTTCCACCTTCATAAGGGCGCTACATTTTTATTAGCTATGGCCGTCAATTTCCTAGATCCGGCACTGATTATACATATATATTTACATACATACTATATTATACTTGTAAAACAATGGATAACGTAAAATAATGGCATTATTAATTTCCGTCGCTTTTTTGCTATTTTAAAGTCGTAAATATACACGTTCTTGACACAATCTTTATATTTATAGTTCAAATACCACTGACTGACTGACCGATCAGTGCGTAACCAATCCGACCATAACGATTTATTTGAAACGTCGAGGGAAAGTCCTTAAATAGCACATGCGTAGGGGCGCGCTAAGGAAGGATTTTAAGGGTCGGAACAGTTTTGGGTGCTGGCCATTTTTATGTTTTTGAAAATCTTGTTTCGCATAAAAATGAGAAGGGGGTCGATTGAGCGAAACACAAGTCACAAGACCAATTACGTATGATTATTACACGGGTTAGTGCGGGAAACGTAAGGTTAACAAAAGGCAACCGCGTACGGCACCCCTCGCCGAACGACTTTAGACTTGGAGTGTTATGTCGGTGTATAAATCGACGGTCTCACTCTTCACGGCACGTACGCGCATGGCATTCAGGCGTAGTACAATACGTAATAATACCGCATGAATATGTCGACTCTTCAACCGAACGGTGCAAACAAATGATTCGCAACGCTTAACGGTGTGGCGCGCGCGATGTTATTGTAAACCTGCGTGTTTGCCGAACGCGCGCAGGAGACATCGGAAACAGAACAGCTCGTTATTGTACCCTTCGGGTTCGTTGTTTGGTTCGATGCGGTTTAACGCTGTAGTCGCGCGCCAACCATAAACGCGTCTCTATCGATCCGAACGGGTTTTAAACATTAACAAAGACGACGCGCCCGTCCATTATCATTATTGTTATTATCATTATTATTATCATTGTTGTTATATGGACGTCGGTGACTTCTTCGTCTTCTTTCTAGTCCCCGTCGCCCCGTGCGGTTATCGTTATTACTTGTACGCCGTACATTCAAATAGAGAAATGCGGAATACGATCTCGTTTGGATTAATCATTGTCGTCCCGCGGATACGGACCCCACGCACCCTCGGTCCAGAACGCTAAAACATACACGCGTACATCCCGCGAGAGCGTATCGTGATCGAAAACGCAGTAAAACTTCGACGGCTCGAAAACTTTGAAAACATCGCGATAACATTACACATTATCCCGATAGTACGCGTTCCCGATATTATAATGTTACATCGGTTTAATGCGTGCACGTACCGCGGCAACTCGAGATTTCCGCGACGACGCGCGTTTCGTTCCCTTCTCTCCACGCGGTCCCGTCGAACCGCTAGCCGATCGAGCCCGAAACTTTTTAATATTTTTCGAAAAAGTATTTCACCGAGACACGGGGACTTAACGGTTATTGCTAAACGATATAATACGTTGCCGGCATAACTATCGAATCGGTTTCGTAACTGTTGTTCGGTAAACTATTTCCGATGAACAACGTCGAAACGTTACACAACACAAGAATCATGATCTTGAAGTGTACGAAAATGTTTTAACGTATGTATAATATGTTATGTATTGTATCGCGTCGGATTCGTTCGACGGAACGCGTTACTGTTAGCGTGATCTGGGATCGAGCATTTATCGTTCGTCCCGCGGTCATGTTGACAGCTTACAGTCGGTTACCACTAGATGACGCCTACAGTATGCTCGCTGCGGCGCACACGAGTACGTAATTACAATGTCATCGTTCGATTCGTACGCGTGCGAAGGACTAACGTCAGCGGTGCCGTGACCTAGAATTAAGGAACGACTACGAGAAACCCGTACACGTTTTTCGTTGTCAAGCATTATGCGTTGGCGTAGGGACGGGACGGGCTTAGCACAATGGACGACGGACAGGCCATATGTGACGGGAACGCGTAAGACATTCGGAACAACTTTTCCATAACGATGTGTTGTACAATGATTGTGCACTTTTATGCAACTTAATTTTTTATTTTCGAAACGGTATTTGATCTAGGTAATATAAAACAGTAAAATATCTTCCGGTTGTGACAGGGAAATTCATCTAGTACAGGTATATATCGTCTGTCCGCACGTGTAGTCATCCGATAAAAATTCCTTCCATAGATTTTTTTTTCTTGCACATCGTAAACCTTTTAAGTACAAAACATGGTGCTCTTCTCAACAAGACTTCGCGCGTAAATCCATTTTCTCTTCGATCCCTAATCCTGCCCGATTTTGAGGATCCACAAAACACGTGTCTATTTCTCCCAGCTTTGTCTTAGTCGTGCTATAACCTCCTCTCAAACCAACCAGCTCGCTTCTTGAACACAATCTTACCGGCCCTCTTATCTCATGCGGTGACGACGCATTGTTTCCGTTCATCATTTATCGTTGAACAGAAACTCATTTTATACACCAGCTATACACCATTTAGTTTCCGACACACGACAGTTCTCCTCGTCCTGTTGGCTCGTCCCGTTTCCCATCATCGTTCGTATCGCACTAGGCGTCTTGTGACGCGCGACACAATTGTTCCGCACGAGAATCGTAGAAAAACGATTGTTTTGACCATAGGTTCCACGGTGATCCCTTTCGCGCGTTACACGCTCGCATTAACTGTCGTCCGTCTACGGAGCAGATCGCGCCCCCCGTGGAAGCATTAGTTGTTGAAGTACAAAAGCTTTCGCTCGTTAAACCGAGGCTCCGGTTCGAATGTTTACAGGGATCCACGTGCCGCGACACATCGAGTACTGCTGAGATTATAAAAAAAAAAGTCTATTGTTTATTTTTATTTTGTTGTCGAAACGCAGGAACGTGTCATCTGTCGTGGTCCGTGTACATGCTCGGCTCGTCGGTGGCCCTGCTCCTGATGTGCTTCTACCTGAGTTTCTACTCGTCCCGCGACAGTCCGGGCAGTTCATTTCGTTCCATCTGATGAGTGCACGACCAGACCTCCGCAGCAGCAGGGGCAGCAGCTGCAGCTGCAGCTGCAGCATCGGCTTCCGACGCAGGATACGCCGCTGGCCATTATTTCTGTCACACATGACGGCAACGACATCCATCGCGACGACGACGACGATGACGACGACGATACGCAATTCAAACCAACCATTATCGCTCATTGTAAACTGTAATATCGACGAATTCGTTTCAATCGATATCGATAAAAACGAATCGACGCGAAAAATAATTACAATACTAACCATTCGTGTACAACAGACATTTTGTATTTAGCCGCTAACAATAATAATTCGTCATCGTTTTTCTCATCGCGTCACCATGTTTTTATCTACGATCAGGTATATTGTCTTACGGTAAGTAATGACAATTTTTTTTTATAATGTACAAAAGGAAAATTAAATTAAAACAAGTAAACGCAATGACAAATAATTTGTAAGATAACAATTATATTTAACCAAATTAACGTGTAGCCCCCATTGTTTAATTACAATTTGGAATTGTTTTTGATTTCCGTTATGAAAATAATTCACCATTTATAGCGGATAATGAGTATAATATAATATTTTATTGTTTTGTAAATATCTGTTAATTATATTATAATTATTATTATTATTATTATGTACTGTCATTATTCTTTTTTTCTATACATGTTAAATCATAGTCACTAGATATTGTACATATTATTTATGTGAAGATATATGAACATTTAAATTGTATATACTTTGAAGGGACATGCAAAAATATTGGACACATTAACGCGAACAAATAATAGTTGAACGATATAACTATAGTTTTCCGAAAATAAATCAACAATACACAACGTCTGAATTATTCCTGAAAGTGGTTAGTCACAAACGTAACGAAACCCTTCGCGCAAAAAACAGATACACGACACTGCGGAAATAAGAATTTATAATTAAATTACTTTTTCGCCGTCTTTTTCACTTTGTGCCCGTCTATCGATTTCGATTTTAAATACATCCTAGCAGTAGGTCCCGATGAATTCTTCAGTGCTTCGCGTTTTTCGTTGCCGACACGGTTGTATTTAGTCATGTGCAAATTGATTCAATTTCGACAATTTTACGTTTTAATGTAGTAGCCCTCTATTCCAATTAAGTAATTACGATTGTATGATTAACGTTTCGCATATAATTAATTTAACCGTGCATCATTATTTCGTATTACATAAATTGTATATTTTAACGGCATCCTACCGCCGTTAGTTATCGTTGTTCGTGTGAAATGTAAATACAACACAATTCATAATGTTTTACAAAACCATCGAGGGATTTAACTAACGATTACTGAGAGTAGTAATTTCATTTTTATGGGATTCAATTTATGTTGTTCGTTCTTTTGTGTAAATTTGTTTTGAAATTAATTAGCCATCCTCCCCCGCCCCACACTCACAAACACAATGTATGTATGTTGATGTTCAATGTTGATTTTGTTGGTAAATATTTGCACAGCCGTCATTCAATGTATGTAATAATAATATAGTCCATCGAAATGTAATCCATGTGTCGCGTACAGTTTTTCAATTCTACACAAATATAATCCATGTCGATTTGTAATATGATTCCAACAAATGCAATGTTTTAACTATAATATCTATTGTATATAGTAAATGCTTATTTAAAAACTAGATTGTGTAACACGTTTTAAATGTATTCAATAGCTTTTATTATAATTACTTTAATCGGTAGTAAACTAAAGATCAATAATATTAATTTGTGGTAGATTTTTTTGTTATTTTTTCTAATACCAAATTAAATTTAAAGAGTTTTTATTCCAAATCTATATATTATACCATTAAAGTTAAAAAAATAATATATTATATTGAAATAAAGGGGCACCATAGCTGCGCACGAACCGGTGCCATTTTATAAAATAGCATCGTAACTCCGCAAAATATATTTTTAAAATTATAATAATTAGCAAGAAAAAATTATACACCATTTAATTATAATTAAACATTTTACGTATTCATACCCGTCTATTTTATTTTTATTACACAATTCTATTTTTTTAATTATAAATTTAAAATTATTTTTTTGTTCCCGTCTAATTATGCCGCATTAATTTTTATTAACAGTCGAAATATGCGATTTACTGCAAAATGCGAAAGTACAAGCGGAACCACGAATTCACAAAAGATTTTTATTCATGCGGAGCTATGGTGCATCCGAAATATATTACTATTTATGATTATTATGTGTTGAAATATAAAAAATAATAAATATGTTTAATCCGTTTAAATTATTGCATCACCAATGGCCAACGATAAATTACATGTATTTACACAGCTACATTTTAAGACAGAACTGTTAATATTATGATAAATGTGCTCTGGATTCTTAAATACCGTATAAATCCATAAGAAAATATATCGAATTCAATTACTGGCATGATAAAATACCATAATAATATATAAATTCAAATACCACTCACTCACTCACCTGACCACTTCATCTTACTAATGATTCGTCTAATATTTTAGATGCAATATGAAAACATTTTTCGAAGATTACATATTTGAAGGATATAACCATTTTTGGGTTGAATAAGTATTTTCGTTTTTTGTTTACCTAGAATATATTATATTTTGTTTATGTATTATATATCATGAAATAATATTTATATATTGTTGAATATGATTATTTTATTAATCACCGATTGAGGTACGATTCGAGGTAAATCGTATATATAAATTAGTATAAATAAATTAAATAAATATTAGTAAATCAAAATTGTGCATCTATTGTAACCATTTTTTTTTTTTTTTACATCGGAAAAAATATCTTACGAGTGCAGCTTTATTATATTCACATATGATTATACATTTAAATTTGCTTTAAATAACTAAATTTTTGTTACCACTTACAATAATTATTTAATTTTTTTCCGGAATACATAACAGAAAAATAACTACCCTAGTAAGTTCTGACCTTTGTGGTGTAGGATTCATAAGAATTCACACCGGTATTCAACGAATAACTATTTTTCAAGTTAACAGAGTTTTTTTTTATTATTTTCATTATAGCATGAAAAAATGTACTGTGGTTTTCGATGCGTTCCGGAATGGAGAATTAGTTCGATAATTTACTTCTGAAAGACAATTACAATCAGATCGTATCCATTGTTTGTGTTCACTTAATTCAAAGTTTATCCTGGTGCATAGACGTTTATCTTCCCCAGAAAATACGAAACCTTAATCGTTACCTTAATCCGCGGGCTTTTACGGTTGAATAAAGAATAGAAATCTGTGAATGGCTCTCTTGTGCAGGGAGACGTCAAGTTTAAAAACAATAGATTAATGTATCTGTCGTACAATCGGTAGATACTCGTATTACGCGTTTTCAAGTTTACAGAATGCGGGATCTTTCCACCGCAGTATCGTAAAAATTGCCACCGTGCTGTATATCTATCGGCTGTTCTAGTTTTTGTTATTATTCTTTCCTTCGCAATCCATTATCGCAGCGATTCCCTTCTCCACTTTGAGTAAGATTCGTGTGTACATCAAAATTATAATGTCTGGTTACGGGAATCATGACATAAGTGACGGACCATGGGAACACCGGTCAGCTCTTTTCCGCCGTTCGTAATCAACACATTTATAAGCATATGGTTGTTGATGTGTTAAAATCGTAACGACGGACGAACGTAATAGACAAAAAAACATCAAAACAATTACACGAGACACGCATAAGTCACTTAATCCAGTTACCCGTCAATGATGCTACATAATCAGCAATTGTTAATATATAATTATAATTTAACCTATCTGGATATAAAATAAAAAACTCAGATTTACCTGTTAATAAATGCATCTAAATAACAAATTAGAAAATATAACATTAAAATGATGACGAACTAAAATTATTTATATTAATCATTGAATCAATCTTAATATATATTTTATTTTGTTCCTATAGAAAAAATAATAAATAAAAACCGTTGAAAAAAAGTGTTATTGAATGACTTTAGAACAAAATTGATCATTTTAAAATATTGATTTTTTGCATAGTTTAAACAATTCAGTTTTAAATTTATACTTCCAAGACCATGGAACTACAAACAACATACATTATCTTTTGATAATACTAAGAATAAAAATCGAAATTTAAAAAAACCAATGTAGATATAATTTCATACATATTTTTTTTTTTTTTTAATCCTTGAATTAGTTCAATTACTTCGATGGACCTCCACTCATCCCTAGTTATCACCACTACTTTCAGTTCTTTATAATTGGTTTACCAATGGTTTAACAATACATAACTATGTATTTGCCTTTAAACGGTTTCATAAATGGTAAGCTTGATTTTCCCTCCTATTATTTACGTTACCCATACATTCTAGATGAAATTCAATAATTCAATATTTTACATGTACCATGAATATTATGCTTGTTTAACCTAATACATGCATAATACTTATCCAGATTATGTAAAAATTAAGACACCCTCTGTACAGATTTACATCACAAAACCAACATACATGAAAATTGATAATTTTGGAGTTATATTCTTGTGAACAAATAATTTCGGTATGTATTATTGATATAAAAAAAAATTCAAAAAATTCATTTAAAAAAATTAGTTGTAAACGTTTAATTTCGTAATTTACAATTCATAAAACAAATTTACTTATTTTTTCAACAAAATATTAACGCTTGATGGAAGAATTTATTATAATTTATTTTTCGGCTATACTTAAATATGATAATAACCATTGGGAAAATCTATTTTTAATATGTGTAAAATATTAGCTCAAATTTTTATTTTCTGTATGTTTATTTAATGAAAAACACGAACTTAAAGACAATTTCTCTCGTTTCACTCGTGAAAAACTTGGTTAAAAATATTTTTCAATATTTAAGTAAACATTTGTGCGAATTGTCATTTAAAAACGAAACGCTATTTTTTCCTCATAAAAAAGAATGAGATAAAATTATTTTAATTCCTGTGAATACGCGTAGAGCACTTTTTCCGTGTTTTATCTTAGTTAGTGAGTATTAAAGTATTAAAGAAGGATTAAAACTGGAATTGTGATTGAAATGTTTTTGAGTATGTATTCCGATTCGTATTCATAAACCATCACATTCTATACGTGGTTTTGACTACTAATATTCGTTCCGTTTGCTTATTTTTGTCTTCTCACAACACAAATAGAGCAGCCCGTTGTTAGTCAAAACGAACATCGGTTCACCACATGTTCTAAAACCGGTTATTGGGAACAATTATGAAACTATAACCTTCAAAGAATCTTTAATTCGAGTTTTAAAGAAATCATCCGAATTAGAACCGGAAAATCTATCAAAATAGTGTTTTGACTTTACTTTCTAAAAGATTTTTTAGGTTTTTTCGATTCTTATCATATATTATGTATGAATTATACATTGCACATTTAAAAATAAAATTATATAAATTTAATATAATAATATGAATATTATGATGAATTAATATAAGTTAATAAAATCTAGATATGCAATTCTTAATGTGTATCGACAGATTTGTTGAGAAAGTTGATTCTAAAGAAACTATAAAAATTAATTACTGTAAAAACTATTTATATTTGTTTTAGCGTGAATAAAAGTCAAACATCTTATCTTAGTTCACAACTTAATATAAAAAAATATCATGTCAATAATATTTCTCATCAAAACTAAATAAAAATGATTTTTTCATTTTATATAAATAATACCTATTCATTAATATAATATTTAAAAAATAAAAATTGTATTTTGCTATTATTATTTTAACATACAGTAAACATTTTTTAAATTAAGATATAACTAATATAATATTATAATAATTGTATGATTTTGTGATATATATGTAAGTAATTTACATTCATTTTTATTTATATTTTGATAGCAAAAACATTTTTGGAATTTTTTTTAAATAATAAAACCAAAAGTGAAATATTTTATTAATTTATTTAAACGCTTGTGTAGAGTGAGGTTAGAAAATAAGAATAAAAATATATAACATTAATTAACTTAAGTAGGTATTAATACTCGTAGTAAAATTATAACAACTTTAAGGGCTTGTAATGAAAAACAGAACAAAGACATTTATATTTTTAAATTTTCTTAACTTGATATTAAAATCCTCATAGGTACATATAATTAAAATAATTTTTAACTATTTTAATATAATTAGAAAAAAGTGTTATATTCCACAATAAAACACATGTTATATTACTTTTTTCACGTTAACAAAATAAAGTTAGAAGCGGTTTAACATTTATTTTGTACTTTCAAATACCGGAGCTCTAACCGGATCCGAGAATTTATATCATAAAAAACCAAAACCGAAATGGAAAACTTTAAAATCTTGAGAGTTTTAGTGTCTAGTCCCCGCCCACGTCATTACGTTTCAATTCACTGAAGCTCGTCAACTCTGTGTATCTTGTCGTTTCCGGTCCACCTGATAACGCTGTGGTATACAAAACAAAACCACGGTGGACCTACATCATGTTCATTGGCCCACTAGCGGTATGGGATACTGACTGTCTCTGCGACGGCCACGAAAGATCTTTACCCTGGCCCCCATTCTTACAACGAGGATTTCTGGAAATCCTACATTCTAATATTTTTGCCACGTTTTCCGTTAGAACCTATGGTTAGAAATTTAATTTTAACATACAATATTATTGCCTATTATACAACAATTCAGTCAACAATTTATGAAAAACTTATGTAAAATATCAGCTATATTCTATTTTATTGTTATTATAAAAAACAATTTTATAAAACTGTAGTGATATATTATATATTAAATTTATTAAAAATTAATTATATTTAAATTTCAAAAAAAAAACTTTTTTGTAGTACAAATTATATTTCGTATAAACGTTCAAAATATAGATAACTTCACTATTTCAATCACAATATATAAGTTCTATACTATGCGAAGACGTTTTTGATAAAAGTATTTTTTAAAACACTTGAACCGTATTGTGATAGATAGAATAAAAACATAACGAATGACTTAATTATCGCATTGCTTTTACAGCGGGTAATTGTATTCGCGGTTGTTTTATATTTTCTACAACTATTATCACTATCACTTTTGTAATTATTTGTCAACTAACAAATAAGTAAAGTAAAATGGATTATCGATTGCTTTAAGTGCAACTAACGTTACAACGTTCCATGAAATATATAAAAATATTACACCGAAAACAACTTAGCATTCTGTTTGTTTAGTATTCCGTAAGAGATCTGGGCAATGTCAAATTTAAATGCTATTCTATTAAATTGTACAGTGTTCAAAATGAATTTCGAACAAAACAAAAAAAAAATCCTTACACTGTGCATTTAAAAAAATATTTAATACACTATCGTTTTCGTCAAGATGAATAATTTATTTTCGAACAATAATTTGAATTTGTAATTATCGTATAATTCATCTAATAAATAAGTATGCGATTATACAAATTAAACGTCCAAGTGTAATAATGTACAAATCAAACGGGATGTTTTCGTCGAATTAATAAATTATTTCAAAACTTGTTTTTCGTACACCGATCGACTCGCCAGCCTAACCCGCCAAGAATCCTCCGTCGACAACGAGAGCCGTTCCGTTCACCATCGTGGAGTAGTCGCTGAGCATGTAGATCACAGCGTTCGCTATGTCATCGGTTTCTGAAAACAATGTCCAGACGATATTGAAAAATTAAATAAAAAATTTATAGCTTCGATGAGTTTTATCATTTTAACACTTCACGTTCCTGTTATCTCCACGCGGAAGAAATTCTTTAAAATTAATTTTGTTTAACTAAATCGTTCATAGTGTACTAAAATGATATTTTCGTCGTGATAATATCATAACGAATACGAAAAACACAATAATTATAGTTAAGGAACGGATTTATATGTAATAAAAAAACAAAAATTTATACATATATATGTAAGTATAATTTATAAAATATGTGCTAGAAACATATAAATATGTGGGGAAAAAAAATTAAAAAAAAAAAAAATTAATATTATTATTAAATTATCAAAATGATTTATTGCATTGAGTTATTACAATATCTTTTAAATTATCAAATGTTAAATGTCGCCTATTAGGTATCAAAATATTTTTAATATTGCTATAATTTCACGTCAACCGATGTATTAAAAGTATATTTCAAACGTATACTATCAGAAGGCGATAATTCCAAATTTTTAGAATGGCGTCTGCCACTCATTATGTCATTGATTGTATTAAAATCAATACAGCCTGGAATTTTTGTCTGTAACAGCATGAATTTTCTTTCTTACAACATCTATTGGTCTGCTTACGAATTTTAATCGCTGATTCAACAATTTGCATATTATCATTTGGGGACATATTTTTTATTAATAATTTTGTTAAATTATTTTTAATTAAAATTCAATTATTTGCAATGTTTCATTTTGCATAATATTTTGAGCTTTTCCAATAGCGATAGAAGTTTCTGATTCTAATTCTGAAATAATTTCTTGTATTTTCATACGAAGTAGACGTATGAATGATGAAATGATAAAAATATGTTTATAAATATTTACAAATTAGTGAAATATGTAAAAATATGTAATTATACCAAAATATGTAAAATAAAAGTATCATCATTTTAATACGAATGATTTAAATCATAAACATTTCTTATCGAATCTTAAATATCTTGTTTTAATAAAAATATGCATTTACATACAAATTCGTTCCTTAGTTATAATGTATAATTTACAGTACAAACCGCGTCCAAATATTTTCATCACGAGTTTTCTGACACAGTAATCAATATGTAGAAATACTACTGTTAGTCCACCGAAACCACTACCATTGCTTAACCTAACCGTTGCTTTGTACGTTATCCACGAAGAACATAGGGCGCTTACGGAGTCGTTTTGTTACGATAGAGTAAAATTAGTTTTATTTTTTTTTTTGTATTTTATCGAAAACATTGAAATACGAAATACTAAACTGTTGCTATTGTTTATCCGTACAGGAATGTATTTATTTGTTTTCTCGTTATAACTTACAAAAATATTATTATCAAGAGTTAAATAATAATAATTAGATAATATTTTAACCATCGGGCACGAACTAGTGAAAACTGTCTTGTCGAAAAATCAAAAATATTCGATTCGACCGTAACACTGACTGCGTTCGCACGAGACGCCCATCGCAGAGGACAATTTTATCGGGGAACAACCGATTTTTTCCGTGGTGATAAAACGAAAAAAAAACCCTTTCTGCCGATCGTTCTAGGCCCGCGAAAGGGTCCGAATATCGTCGGGTTTTCCGCACGAAATCCAAATCCAGAAGAAGAATAAATAAATATAAATAAATCGATAACAGTGACCGGTTCGGCTCTAACACAACTGACCTGCGAATTTGCCCAGCGGTATGCGTTGCATGATGGGCTCGGATTTCTTCGGGTCGGACCACGCGATCTTGCCCATGCGCGTCAGCACCACCGTCGGGTTCACGTTGTTGGTGCGGATGCCGTATTTGCCCAGCTCAATGGCCATGCACCTGGTGATCTGATTCACCGCCCCTTTGGACGCGCAGTACGTCGTGTGCTCGGGGATGGCTCTCTGGAAAACCGCGTTAGTGTTTATACATTTTTTTTTTTTTTCGAAACGCGCGCTTCGAGGCGTTATCGCGGGCGCAGCTTACCGTGGAAATGGTCGACGAAATGTTCACGATGGACCCCTTGATGCCGGCGTCGATCATGTTCTTAGCCACCGCCTGGCTGGTCCTTACCAATGCCCTGGCGTTCACGTTCAGGGTCCTGCGCAAAAACGTCGCTTATTAATCGCCGGTTATTACTTAGGTCCGGGCCACGCGCTCGTCGCGCCGCACTACAGCGTTCCCGACCGTGTACGTTCGCTCACGAGTTCGGAACGCGTTTTCATCCGCCTAACGAGCGCGCGGCGTGGAAAGCGTAATGCGATTGCGTTAATCATTCGTTAAATATCGCTGTTGATTTCCATTTAAATTATTTTTCGTTTATCTATACGGTGTGGATCACGATCAGTCACTTAAATACAACGGAATCCATCGCGACGGCGGATCCGTTCGGATATCTGAACCCAGAAAAAGCGTTTTAGATTCGCCCGTTCGGTTTCGTACGGGTGTCTAACAATCGGTTAATTACGTTTTATGAATAATTTCGAAAGTCCTCGAACGAATGCTTTGAGTGATACTACAGAATTCCTTCGTACGACGAACTATTAGAAAAATCGTCTAGCAACTGTACCGGCATTTGTTTTTGCGTGTTTGTCCGTGCGATAATCATTAGCAGTATTTCAAAGACATTATTCCTTTTCGGTTAGCATTGATTGAAATATCGATGTCAATCGTAGTGTTATTAATGGTTATGAATATAATTAAAAAAATCAGTTACAAACTTATTTGAATCGGTGTTGTCAGAATCATTAAAATGAACGGAATACGCGCGTTGAACCGCTGTAGTGCATCGCGTGCCGTATAGAAAAATGTTAAGTTGTTTAAAATCCGCTACGGATAGCGGTGTCGCGCGGCAACGCGCGTTCAAACCGCGCAGGTCTGACGCGGTCTGTTTGACGCTATGAATAGTACACTGATAAACTTCGAGGTGGTCGCACGTAATGACTCGATCCCGTCGCGAAAGCCCGTCCGAAACTATTGCCGCCGGATCCGAGTGATCCACGACTTTCGACGACAGATGTAAGAAAATTATCGTGCGACATTTCAATAGCGTATACAGAAAATATTTTCGGGAGGGTTTACTATGGACAGAGTTAAATTACCACTGCTATCTTAGAATTACTAACAAGACACAGTAGGCACTTATCTACATTTCATTTACGTGTGTCACGCATCGGACGAACTATACCGTTTAAGTAATGCGCATGCTGAATGATTGTAATAATTCGAACACGATTAGGACGAATGCGGTGGAAAACGGACTCAATGCACCTTCGATCACTGTTGATCATCAGTTCGATCACGCGTCTCGTTCTCGGGCGCGAACATGCGAATATCGACTTTAACATTTGTACTCGCGAATAATTACCAATGCAACTATTTCAATTGCGTCAGTAGTGGGTTGTGACGGAATTCGTTTTCGAAACGATTTACGTGATAGCTGAGAAGATATGGCTGGGTCCTATTGTATCCGCGGGAATGGATACCGATCACGGGGATGCGAAATAAAGTGAAAATGAAATATTATCCACGATCAGGGTCGCGAAACGAGAAGACAATCTCAAACGTATATCAGTGCATTATAGTAAAAACGAAAAATATTATTGGCACGGAACACAGTGCGAATACTATAAATAAAAAACGTTCACGATTATGCAATATACGAGTATATTGTCATAAAATATTATCAGTGCTTAAGCACGATGCGATTGTAGAGAAAGAAAAATTTATCAAACCTATAAATGACACATGTATTCAATTCAAAAAAAACTTAATTGATAGTAAAATCATAGCTAAGCGTATTGTGTATACTTCTTATTACACAATTCTAATTTTAATCATGTACTTCTACATTCATTACTTCTTGTTTTAATCATCCCGCACTCTTCTAATATTTTTCTTCATAAAATTTTCTCCTTCTTCAGTGCCTTCTCGTAACTACTCGAGTCCGGCCAAATCAACCACTCTTGTTTCTCATCACACTGTACACGGGGCACAATGACTAAGTCAGCACGTATTGTATAATGGGCGATCATCATATACCACATCTATAATAAACACGTATAATATACATAATATAACATATATAATATAACATGTATAAATTATGTGTTTTATTAACGGTAAATGCTTGGTTGCCTATACCAAACAATAGTTGTTGACTTGGTCATTACACCCCATACTTATTCCAATGTTAATATCAATTGCAAGCCAATAAACATTTATATGGACATATTGATCGTTTATAAGAAAAATAGTTTTACTTGTTCCAGCCCTCTTCGGTAACATCGAAAAAGGACTCTATAACGGCCACACCAGCGTTGTTGACCAACCCATGTACCGGACCGAGTTCTAACATTTTCTTGTAGGTATCTTCCCAGTTGGATAGATCGCAGACTACTTGCTTGGTGTTTGGTAAATTAACGCCTTTATCCTTTTCTACCACTGTATAAACAAATGCTCCTAGGTCTAGCAATCTACTGGTGATCTTCTCTCCCATTCCTAGAGAATAAACAATTAAGTAACATTTTAGCATCATGATATTTTAACGGTTAAACGAAAATATATTTCGGATTAGGTGCAAGGTATTTCAACGGTTGTAAAAATATTTTACTCATTATTACTTTACAAGTATTATTTTATAGCTCTAAAAGGATTACAAAATCAAACCATATTATTATTGTTTTGCAAGTGTATTTACAAATGCATAGAATGAATACACTACAAAGTAAATAATTCAAATAATTTGATATCTTAGAAGATCATTAATGTATTTAATATATATATATATATATATATATATATATATATATATATATATATTAATGTATTTAATATATATATATGATTTTACATTTTATTAATGCATCTTTTTTGATTAATTATAACATTTGTAAGTCTAAATGTCAACTTGACAACCGTAGATTAGATGTTACTTAAACATTTTCAAAACTTGTAAGTTTTCGTTTTTTTATATTGAACTTGACATAAAAAATTCAACACAATCAATATACTCATCGAGTTAATATTTTTAACGGCTATATAAAAATTCGATAACGGTTTAGTTTTTTAGAAAGTTATTTTTTGAAAGCAAATATAAAATCGAATAATACACATAAAACTATGTTGTCCGTTTTTCGAAATGGAATATATACATTTTAAGCAATAAATTATTATTTAAATCATAATAACAGCGTAAACTATTCAAAATTGTTTCTAAAATAATGTGAAAAATAGCTCATCACACGTTTATTGTTAAAATGCTGGTACAAAATAATTGTTTAATTAAATTAAAATTGTATAGTTCAAAGAATTTGTGCAGTAAATTATGTGCTCTCGGTAATTTAAAATATTCAAATATGTAACGGTTACATCAGTACGAGTTAGTTATACATGTGTTTGGTTTGCGCCTAACTGTACACGACCATATGTACATAATTATACGAGTAAAATACCGACATGTATATACATACGACGATCGACGACGGTCGAAATATGTTTGCTCATACTAACCAGCGCACGATCCGGTGACGATGAACTTCTTGCCGTTGAAGTACTCTTCAAAACTTTGTGGTTTTTGGCCACACATGTTCCTCGACAGTACGTCGACGGCCATTTGTCCAGTCACTCGCTGAGGTAATTTGTATAAGGAACGGAACATTTTTAAATGCCTTTGGTTTGTTAGGAATATTCAAACGTATTCGGTGTTGAGAGTACGTATCTGGAACAGTGAAAAATCAATTACACATATAGAGTTACGCAACATTATTTCATTCAAAACCAATTATATTCGTATTTTATGGTATCGTTAATTTAATTTTAACGGTCACGCATACGCTAGTGGAGTTCCTTAAAAAAAATAAATAAATTAAATAAATAGTCAAAATGATTAGCTTGCATTTAAATTACAATAGCCTAGCGGCAATAAATTGAATTTTTAGTTTGGTTTCAAAACGATTTTAATTGCAATTGTATGCAATTTCATTGGAAAACTTATTTTCAAAAAAAAAGTATCGAACTTTATATTTACTACAATTATTGTAACTCTACGAAATATATTGGATTGCTATCAACATTAATCATACTACATTAATAATTAATGATAAAAAATTATTGCTATAGAATAAGAATTGATTTGTACTGTTGTCAGCAGGAATTTATAGATAATTTTCAGATTATGTTCTCTATTAATAATTATAAAAATATTGTTATAAGTAAATAAACACTGATAAATGTTAGCGTTTGACACAATAAGTTACCGACTGACTCTAGATTCTAGAATATTCTATATTATTAAAAGAATATAGGCAATTTCATAAGGTCAAGTAGTTACAATTGATAACAAAAATAATTATTAAATAATTTCATACAAAGAGATTACGATATAGATAATATTCACTACCTATACGAGTATGTGTATAATTTACTATCGTGGAAATAAATCACTAGCATGTGCACATTTTTTTATGACCAAGCAATTTTGAGTTCAGGTCCTGTGAGTAAAACAAAATACAAACCGAGTTTATTCCAAGGCAAATAATATAATTCAAAAAGAAAGTACGGGTAGATTTTTTTTTTAGTTTTGACTGTAGGTATAACCGGTTTTGGAAATTCTTGAAGTCAAGTACACGAGTTCAAAAAAACTTGTTTCATAGTTTTCATTCTACTCACGTTCATTACCAAAACCACGAACGATGAATTGTCCCAACCCGTTGTGATTAAATTATTTAGCGTTCAATGTAATAGTTTCAATGCGAATTGAATCAGTTTTAGCTGTCTCTAGGTCAATCAATAACTCTGCCATTGAATCTATGTATTAATTACATACATAAAGAATAAATCGTTTTGGTATGTGTTTGATCTATGATGTTCAATCGCAAAAATTAACTACTAACAACTAAATTCTTACTAAAAGCATGCGAACAATAAGGAATAATATAAGAAATAAGGATCACTGATCCTTTAATTTAGTATACGTATAGGTAATACTATACTAATTAACTTGTTAAATGATTATAGCACGCCTTGTAATTGATTTAATTATTTTTTTTATAATATTTTTATATCAAATTGGGTTTATCAACAGTAAAACTAATTGCGCCAATTAAGCGTACGTAATTAGGTTGAATAAATAAGCTATTGTATTCATATTTATTAATAAAAAGCATGAATTAAAAATTAAATAATGTTGTTGTGTTAAACGCTTATACGTAATACTTTAATCATGTGCCACATTGAAATAAATAAATTTTTATATCCGGCGACATACATATGTTTTAACGAAGATATGAATTATTTATGAAATAATGCGAAACGAAAAAAAAAATCAACCTATCGTTATTTTGAAAAATTATTTTAACAAATCGAAAGCAAACACACGAATCTGCGGTTAAGTTGCGATAATTAACGTCACATTTTATCCGATATCGAAACGATTGTAAAATGAGATTTCTAACATAAAAAAAAAAAAAAAAAAAAACACGAATGAACGATAAATTTTAAATAATTTTACGTCCGTTTCGACAAAAAGAAAAAATTAAAATCCGTAGAACCATTGTTACTTACGTTATACGATATTATATTATTACGTTTCGGTACGTTTACGCATTATTCGATAACTGTACAGTATTGTATACGGATTCGCGTGTTTGTGAATATTAAACCTACGGAAAATAAGCACCGAGCAACCAATACAACGTCACTCCACACCTGGAGGAAAATAGCAGTTGAAAAACAAACGAAACATGAAATTCGCAAACTTACCACCAACGCCGACGATCGAAAAATGTGCACTGAGAGAAACGGCAGCGACGCTACTCGCGGCTTACTGAAACTCGTAAATGAACCGGGAGAAACGCATGCGTGCTGTTATATAGTAAGTTGATTTTTTTTTTTTTTTTTTTTTTGTAATTTGTAGCGGAGCCAAGCACTTGGTGACGTCATAACGGGCACGTGGGGGGACAGTTCACGACGGTTATTAAAACGTTCGCCCTGCCGCGGTAAGTACGGTGAATAGTGTGTCTCAAAACGTGCGTGTATTGTACGCGTCGACAAATATCCGCGTGGCACGTTCGCGTGTTCACAACGAATCGTACAGTAACGGTACAGTATTTTAATAATTGCTCGTAAACGAATCGAATACCATAATAGGTGCACGATCCGTTCGGTTTTTAATTATTTGACCGTTGCGGTTTTATCAGCGAAATTGTTCGACTGCGGCTGATAAACATCGATATAACAGCGACGCGCGTTGAACACGCGTACAGATAAAATACACTGCGATCGGATCACGATTCGATATGTGCTTGAATCGCAGGGTTTATTTTACGGTCTTCGACATCTCAAAATAGTGTTCTATCGAAAATCCAAAAAACCGTTTACAAATAGATGTTACACTAAAGCACTCGAACAAAAACGTAGCGTGTCCACTTATAATACAATTTTTTATGCGCATGAATAGTTTTTCCTGCAAAAAATTGCACAGGATTTTTAAAAACTATGATTTCAACCTACGCTTTACAACGGAAGAAGGATTAATGATCGTGAATTTGATTTGTACGCGCATTTACATATTTTTCCGGTTGACCGTATTGTATGCTAATTATTATCGATGTAATTCGTGAAATTGTGATGAATACATTTACAAACATTTTTGTGTACATTTCAGAATTTTTGATTTATCAAAGGATAATTTATCATTTAAATGCCATATTCAAATTCATATTATTTCTATATTTCTTCAATACGATATGTATTTTTATAGTTTTACAGAAAATACAAGATCACCTATGAAGTTTATATCTTCATTTATTTGTCTAACAATTATAATTTGGAAAACTCGAGAAAAGTTAAATTATCAATGCGCATCTCACTAATTTCAAAATGAAAATGATTTTTATACATTTTATCACGGACGGATAGGGCCACCGGGACACCGGGATTTTTCCGGTGGGCCGCTACTTATATTGACGAAAATGAGCCAATGAAAACCATTTCTACTAACACTATTATACATGTACATACATACAAATAAAATTAAATAAATATAATACTGATAAAATATATTTAAATCTAGCTTAAATCTATAATTATCATGTAAATTCCTTTAAAATGAAGAAAAAGAAAAAGTATTTTCGGTAGGGTTACATAATTTTAAATGGAATTTTTTTATGTATTATTTTAATTGAATGATCAAAAATTAAAAAAAAAAAAAATGTTTGCAATATTTAGAGTGCATATTTTAACACATTATTGCATATACTGATGCATTATCTTTTATCAATATCTGTACTGTACTCTTGTCCATGTGGCGTCAATAAATAATAAATATAAATATACTTATGTATGTTAAAGATTTTTTAGCGCATATTTATTTATTTATTTATATAATTGTATACGCCCACAACTGGGCTCAGAACAGTTTTTTTTTTTTTAAACTTTATATATATATAGAACATAATACAATAACAATATGACTTAATATTAATTTACTTAGCTTTATATAATAAAACAAAATAATAAAAAATTTGATTGGTTTTTAATGTATATAATTCCGCGCTATAATAATGACCGATTGTTCGGATTTAAATTATTATATTTAGTCACTAAAAAAACTCCAAAGTCGATAACTGATATATGATGTTTTTCCACACTAATTATATTTATAGATTCTTTTGTAATCCAAAATAATGTATTGAGTTATACAAAGAAATAATAATATGATTTCTACCATTCAAAATTTAAAAGCATTATACTTCTAGAATTGTTTTGGATTTTAAACTAAATGTTTTTCGAAAGCTTACACGTTAATTTATTTATACATACACATCGAGTAATAATTAAACTAATATTAATTGAAATTAAAATAATTATTCCAAAATACAAAATAACTTTATGTTACCAACATTCGCATAGAAAACGCGGTATACTTAATTAACATAAAGGAATCTTCTGATCGATTTGTAAAATGTAGATCGATGACTTAAAGTGCCCACTTGTGCAACTAGATAATTCAATACTTGCGCAGATCGAATACTGTTCCTAAATAGTGATTCTATTCACACGGCCACCATATGTTTGCCACTCACGTTACACGGTGAAATGTATGGTATTAGAATTATTAATGGTAAACATTAAATGTTCATGTACTTTATTATACTTTATGTAATCATAGTTCAGTATAGAAGCCTAAACTGTAGCCGATAAATCCCAATCAACTGGATTTAATTAGGTACCACGAATAGACCAATAAAATTTATTAAAGTTACCACTGATTAGAGTTCAACGGAAAACGCTCTTATACATGTACTTTATACAATTTTTACAGTATGTAAAACATATTTGATAATTATGAAAGCGTATCTATAGGACTTTTAACAAGAATATTGAATATCAAAGCTTGAAAGAAAAAAAAACAACATCTCGGATAACACTGATTGAGATTATAAACAATTGGGTCAGAAAAAAAAGTTTGTTAGGCGATATTAATTTTGTAGTCCATGATGGATTAATTCTATTTTAGATTTAGGACCCGAAAAATTGTAAATCGTACATCACGTCACGATCGCATCAACCATGAATCGGTGAATCTGGTGCGAATTTCTTCGGAATTCGAACACATGGTGTTGATTCGATGAAAATATGTCCGTATAATGCTGCTACGATACGATCCCTGTGCGCGTACATGCTTGCACGTGTCATCAGATGCTCCGAGCGGAGCTCATATTGATTTTCATCGCAGCAGCGCCGCGGGACGCGGGAAAGGTCACTGCACGTTTCGGCCGGTACCCCATATAGACACAATATCCGTGGGGGTGGACTGGCAGGGCGGGTAGGTAGGTGGCCGCTGTACCTACCCAGGCCCTTCAAAAATTTCATGTTTGGGCCTCGAATGGATTTGTTATTTTTAATGATTTTTTTTTTTTTCATTGGCACACATGTATATCGTTACCGATGGTCAACAACGAAACAGAACAACGTATTTACAAAAATAAAACAACCGGGACAGTGGAAATTGCTAGTTTGTATAGCTGATTTCCGACCGAGGCTCTGAATTGACGGACCACTGGAAGCCGCTAAACCGTGTTGTTACATGTCGTGTTCGTATAAATTTCGTCAATCGCCGAATCGATATCGGTTTGACGGAACACGGACGGGGAAACGGTCGTTGAAATGGAAATCGATGACGTACTGCGGAAGACGATGACGGACGCCCAGTATTACGAATCACTGACCGAGACGGTTGTTTCACATCAGTAATTGCTCCGATAACGATAAATAGAATATGATCGTTTCGAATTCGTGTGTAACGAGTTTATTACCACGTGCCTCCGTGACACTCTTTAATAGTAATAATTACAATGTCACCGCGAACCGGGCTCAGTTTTTATGCTCAGTATACACATTCACGCAACGTTTTTGTAGATTTGTAAAAAGTTACGTTTCATTCGTTGCGCTAAAATGCGTTTGATCATGTATTTATCACTATTTCCCTGGTTTTTTTTTGTCAACGTTTAAATAAGTACATTTTTTGTTTAATATACTTAGGGTTTTAAAATGAAAAAACTCCAATCATTATGATTAAATAATGGCATTTAATGAAAAACGATAGAACTTCATTAGAGAATGTTTAGTTACTCGATTACTTATTATCAACTTAAATAAGTACTACTATATAATTATTATATAATATACCACTTATGCAATAAAAACATCATGTCCGAGTACAATCGTTTTCAATTATATTTCAAGTACACGACTGGTATCCATATTTATGCACGACGAGAGAATTAAGAACTTGATAATGTCTGCAGGGGCGGGAAAAAATTTCGGGAGTTTTTAAAATATGTAAAATGTAAAATGTTGACTAATAACATGCTTTATCATTCATTATATAATATATATGTCATAGCTACTTATTGGGATTGACCATGAAATGGAATCGGCTTTATCGAAAATATTTTACGATGTCATCGTTTTTTCATGAAACGATCGCTCCGATTGGACATCGCGTAATTTTTTAACGATCTGGTCGTTCACTTTATGTACCGAAGATATATTTTATATTTATCATAGTCTTATAATCATTTTTGTTAGTCGTATTTTGTAATATGGTATTTTTATTATGTTTAGTTTAGTTTTGGAACACAAAGGGAACGACCAGTTTGCTAAAAATTACACGATGTCAAATTAAAATAACCGTTTCATAAAAAAGTAACCATATTGTGAAATATTTTTTATTTTACGAAGAGTTTAAATCTATTTCCATATCATGTAATTATCAATTTCACTAAGTGGCTACGACATATATTTTTTATATATTTTTTATTTGCAAGTCTCACGGGAGATTTTGAATAACTATTAAATTTGTAGGTCAAGTCATTTTTTTATAACATTTTTTCTGATATTTTGGAAGGAGGTTGACTCCTAACCCCCCTGCATGTACATCTGGGTGTCTGTCTGATGAAGGATATACATAATTTGTGAATACTCGATCAAATTCATGTTTGAACTATCATTCACGTACGTGAAACTCCGCAGGTGTTTATTGTTAAATCATCAATTTATGATTTATTAAATCAATAAAATAATATACCCGTGCAAAATAGGTCAAGACCGGATAAAACTCGGGTTCAAAAATTATTTTTTCTTAAATTATTTTTCAATGAGTTTCCATGATAAAAATTATCGTTTTAAAATTATAATTGTCACTACATTTGTATTAATTGAATTAAGTATATTTCATATTACGAAGCAAATCGATTTCAAATTTACTCGTTTAATCATGTAAGTAACCAATATTTTTAAATTATTCAGAAAACTACTCAATAACTTTCAACCAGAAATTATATTTTTGTTCAAGTACTTTT